TACAGGAAATGATCCAGATTTATTTGGCAATCATTCCAGCAACTTCCTGATTCAGGGTGATGACACAGTTGTGTTGCATTGGCAGGCTGTTCCCATGAGTAGCATTGCCAACATGGGCTTGTCAATGCAATAGCTCACTTTGGGTGTCTCAAATATGTAGTGTATTTCAAAACACCTATGACTGTGATTGACATTTGAAATGACTTAACTTTTGGGAATTTCCAACAGCAGTCACAGCTTTCCGGTCATTTTTTTTTTTTTTTTTGAGGAAACATTGACTACCGTTCGTAGCAATGCAAAACATACTATGGCATTAATTTGATTTATGGTGTTTTGCTGGTTTAAGTTGGTTTAGCTGGTCTTCTGTCCTGGCCAAGTTAGTGTTATGCTTTTTTAACCAGGGATAGTGGAGCAAAACAATGCTAACGTAAAGTCTGTTTGTGTGCTGACACATTTTAAATCAGTATCCACTTATAAAGGATGGATCAGCTGTGAACACAATGCAGTACTTAAGATGTAAAATGAGTGAAATTAGTTTATTTTATTATCTTGGGAAAAGAAAAACAATAGTGTAAATTCCCATTATTATAATAATAATTCATGTGCCTCCTTTACTTTCAGACCATCTTTTATCCTCTTTCTGTCTTTTGTTTACTTTTACACAATGAACTTCTTTCTGTCTTTTAGTCTCAGCTGCCTGAGGAGATGCATTTTATAGTATGAATGGGTCATTGCTGGTGATTGTAACTGTGGAAATTCTGTCTGAAAAAGATTGCATTGAATGCCTGGTTTTTCAGCACATATTGGCTTTTTAAAATGGGCGAATCACATGACATCATGCTCAAGTCACATTTTCCCACAAAAAACATCTCATTAAGGTAATTTCTCAGTAATTTCACATTAACTATAATATAAAATACTGTAATAATTTTAGTTTGGCATAAATAAAAGGCATTACATCACATACTACAATTTTAAAATAATTTATTTTTGATTTACAAATATGCAAATATGTTTAATTATCATGAAGTCATTGTGGTTTGACATGTGACTTGGTCATGTTCTTCATGTTTTATGAGGTTTTTACTTACATTTCCATACATATCTATATTTTATTTATTTTTTGCTGGCTTAAAAAGGTCTTAGACCCGGTTGATCAGACGCAGGAGGTTGAAGATTTGGATCTTCTGTATGACAGTCTGGAGGTTTATAACCAGAGCGACAGTGGCCCAGAGATGGAGGACAACGAGAGTCTTCTCAGCACTCCCAAACCCAAACTAAAGTAAGTGCCATGAGTCATAGCGCAAGTCTGATGCATATTACACACGAAAATGGCAAGTCATTTTCAAAATCGCATCTGATTGGCTGACTTAAACCAATTTGCTTGCTTTTTGTCAGTCCACAGGGAAATAAAGTCATGCAAAGTTCCCTGGCTGTTATGAAGACTTCTAAAGAAGACCTAGTGTATTTGACAGAGTTGCAACGTTTAATTGGAGACAATTAGTAGCGAGCAAACTAGATATCCTTGTGGATATATTTCACATTGTTTCCAGTTATTTCAACTTTCACATTTTTCGTTCGGTTCGCACTGCTGTTCCTACTTCTAGATGCTCTAATCTCATTGTCTTCAAATCTTGGGACACACTGCCATTAAAAATATTATTTTTGACAAAGAATCAGTTTTTTTGCTGCTAAAAATGATTGTTCTGGAGGAGAAAGTGTTTGTATATGAATTACGAACAAGAGGAACACATTTTAATGCTTGAAGCACCAGAGTCTCATTGTCTTTCAGTCAAAGTGAATGACTTCCAGTTGCTTTGTCTTCGCAAATCGCACCAGTGTACGCCTCTTAAAGAACACTTAGGAAAAATTTACTGATACTTTATCGCTGACCATGAAATCCAACTCTTGTGTCTAAGACTGTTTTTATATTCTTAACATGTGTATGTTTTCCACTCAAGGCCGTTCTTTGAGGGAATGTCTCACTCCAGCTCACAGACGGAGATCGGCAGTTTGCACAGTCAGAAGAGCCAGCCGAGAGAGCCCACCTCCACTGTACGTCTGACATTTTGAATGCTTGAATTATCAGAATTATTCTGCCTAAACTAAGGCAAACACAGGACATGCCAATGTTGATTATATTTTTATATTTAATATAAATTTTCACAATTTCTTTCTTAATCTAAGCAAAGTCAAGCCAAACTCATCTTTCACGGGACAGATCATAGTCTGTTTCTCTCATAACTCAGTTTTGAGAAAATATGTTGTAAATACATATTGCCTTTGTCAGAACGTATAGTAATCCCATTCATTAGCTCCCCAGGGGAAATAGATTTTTTTATGATAATGTATAAACTTTCAAATATAGACAGAATCCAAGGTTACTAACTGATTATGCTTTTGTCGAAGCCAATATTTGAATATACACAACTTCAAATGTGTGGTATTTTATACCTAATTAATATATTCTACTTTTTGATTCCATGTCATTCACAATGCTTCATGGGATGAGAAATTCAATCCCCTATAAAATAAAGTACAGTCTTCTTTTTTCTCTCCTTTTCAAGTACTTTTTGCATCAAATCTAAGCTTGTAGGGTTGTGATTTATCTCAGAGCTGGTTTGTTTGGTTCATTTCTTGCTAATCTTCATTGAACAATTTTTTGCATCCCCTACCCTTGTAGAAAAAAAGTGCACTTAATTTTGAATGTGCACTTGTAGTGTACCAAGTATTTTTTTTTTAAATCTGTAATCACATATAATATTAATGACATAAAAGGCCACTTAAGTGCACTTTAAGAGACTACACTTTCAGGACTGTTTCTTAACACTCCTCAGTACACTTTTAAAATCATTGTTTTAATAATCGCTAAATAAGTACACTTATTCTGATGTGTTGTCTAACATACTAAAGCACAAAGCACTTGATTATAATTTGAACTGTAATGTGTTATTCAATATTATGTTTAAGGTTAGTATCATTTAAATGTACTAAATTGCAACATCATCATTACAAAAGTGTAATTACAAATATTTTTAAAATCATGACATACAATTTTGTATAGAAATGACAAAGTATTTTATTTTAGACACTAAATATATTTTAGTTTACCATAAATGTGCATCAGTACATTCAGCAGCACTTTAACCATATTTCAAAGACAAAAGAAGTAATTATGAAATTACATATAAAGATGCACTGAATTCCTATACTTGTGTGGGCCATAAAAGCGCTCTAAAGTTCAGCTAATAGAATTTAATATAAATGTAAGCTACAATACATTTTCATTGAATTGCAGTTACCATGCAGTTAAGTACCAGAAAAGATTACATTCGGTTCACACTTAAGTTCTTTTAAAATACATGGTTTCTATAAGTACTCATGCTTAAGTGTACTTCGTTTTCATAAGAGTATGGAGGAGATAAGAAAATACTTGCAGACCCAAAGCCTGAGCCCCATGCTCACTGTTGTGCTTAGTTTCTGTGTGTGTGTGTTTGCAGGGTGGCGATCTGTTAACAGTGGATAAGAACAGGACAGCGGGTGCACGATATCCGGATGACCTTACAGTGGTGGACTCTGCAGCTGGGGTCAGTGACAATTTTTTTTATCTTTACACATTTATCATACAGCGATTTTTATACAGCTGTCTGGAATACTGTAGAACATTGATTACTTGATGTATAGTTGATATCTGTTATTTACTTTCCTTCTTTCTTTTCTTCTGTTGATTACCATGGTTTCTCTCTGTGTCTATCAGTTCACATCTGCTTAAAGTGAAGAGTAACAGTGTGTGAGTGTTTAAATGTGTTTACTACCCAGCATCAGCACAACAACAGCCCTAATGAGGCACTTTTAGAGAGATGGGACGAGAGAGGGAGAGATAGAGCCAACAAATACAGTGCATCCATGTGGGACTTTAAAAACTTGTGGAGTAGGGTACACGTTATAATATTCTGCATAATTGGGATAGAAATATAGGCCTCTAAGTCATTATTTACATTTTTCATAATGACTTTTCCAAACATTTCTACTGTCTGTTTGACAGATTTGACCAAATCTATCAAGCATCAGAGCTCATAAACAATGCCATAATCATGTCATGCTCACAAAGGTAATATTAATTGTAATAATTTTTGTGGATGTTTTTTTTTTATTCGTCTTTTTCAACCATCTTTCTGTGGATCAGATCAAGAATCAGAAATAATGTTTATTAAAAATCATAATTCTTAATGTTTATGCCTTTAAACTAAGTATCAGTGTTATTTTAGTATTATTTATATACTATTATATTAACTATTATTTTGAATTAGCTTTAATTTTTATATTTTGAGTTTTAATTTTAGATCGTTTTACTAATTTTGTTAGTTGCGTTTGTCATCTTTAATTTTTTTATATTTCTATTTAGCTTTAATTTAATTTTAATTTGTATTAATTTTAGTACTTAAACTTACTTATTTCAGTTAGTTGCCAAGGCAACATGTCTCATTTTCGTTCAAGTTTTCCATCTAATTGTTATATTTTACTTTGTTTCAGATTTATTTCAATTACTGAAAAATATTTTTTTTAGTTTTAGTTAACATCATTTTCAATTTTATTTGAGTAAAAGCCCAAAAGTACTTGATTTTAATGTACTTAAGTATCAAAAGTAAAAAGACATGACAAATGCGGACATGTACAATTTCAGTGGTCTTAAACACTTCGCCCTTTTTTCAGTAGATTTACTTCACAAATAACTGACAGTCATGACCTAAATATAATTTTAATTTACAATAATCAGTACTAAAATTTGCTATCAGTACCTTACTTCTCATGTGCACATTCAAACTCTGATGATATCCAGCTCTTGGCCATTGTGACCAGATCAGTGAATCAGTGAGTTGTTGACTCAAGAACAGCTTCGATCAGGGGTGTGTTTCCTGTACAATAGGGTTGTGTCGGTGAGGAAATTTTCCCACCGGTTAATCGACATGTGACAACACCGGTAATACCGGTATCACTGTGGGGGCGGGGCATTCCCTCTTTTCCTCGCTTTCCTTTGCTTTTAAATAGCTTGTAAAAGCGGTGTGCCCATTTTACTTTCACTTTAAAATAGCTGCAATTCGGAGTAAAGCAATTGTTCGTTTTTAGTGCGTTTGAATTTTCCCTCTTTTCCTCGCTTTCCTTCGCTTTTAAATAGCTTAAAAGCGCCGTGCACATTTTACTTTCACTTTTGAATTAACGGCAGTTCGGCGTCAATTGCTTGAATGCAACAACAAAACACAACGTCAAACTCACTTTAGCCTATATCGGTGACGCGGTGGGGAAGTGACGTAACCGGTGTTGCGGCTTAACACCGGTATCACCGTCAGCACCGTCTATCGCGGCAAGCCTACTGTACAACAACGTAATTCGCTGCTTAACCACCATAGTACGATGCATAATTGTAGAAACTAACTAGCTAATCATGACTGTTCCCCAAACATGGTCGCATCTCCGTCATTTGGACCACATTGGTTCAACAGTATAGGTCAGTCTTTCATGACGTCACATGCAGGTGGTGTAGTAACTTCTAGTAATTCATCGATTCCAGATCTCTGAGATGCTGCTGTATTGAACAGGGCAGCTGATGACTATTTTGCTATTTTTTGTTCCTTGTCATTTAGCCTTATTTGATTTATCGCAGGTTCCCTCTTACGTCATTCACATTTGTGCACATGCACAGTCTTCAAAAAAGGTGCTTACTGAGGACACTCTAAATCAGCGGTGGCCAACGTTGGTACTGTAGAGACACAATCCTGCAGAGTTCAACTCCAACCTTGATAAAAACTCACCTGCCTGTATCTTTCTAGTAACCCTCAGACCGTGATTAGCTTGTTCAGGTGTGTTTGATTAGGGTTAGAGCGAAACTCTGCAGGACAGTGGCTCTCCAGGACCGACTTTGGCCACCCCTGTGCTAAATCATATAGACTGAAATGGATATACAGTGGGTACGGAAAGTATTCAGACCCCCTTAAATTTTTCACACTTTGTTATATTGCAGCCATTTGCTAAAATCATTTAAGTTAATTTTTTTTCCTCATTAATGTACACACAGCACCCCATATTGACAGAAAAACACAGAATTGTTGACATCTTTGCAGATTTATTAAAAAAGAAAAACTGAAACATCACATGGTCCTAAGTATTCAGACCCATTGCTCAGTATTTAGTAGAAGCACCCATTTGATCTAATACAGCCATGAGTCTTTTTGGGAAAGATCCAACAAGTTTTTCACACCTGGATTTGGCGATCCTCTGCCATTCCTCCTTGCAGATCCTCTCCAGTTCTGTCAGGTTGGACGGTAAACGTTGGTGGACAGCCATTTTTAGGTCTCTCCAGAGATGCTCAATTGGGTTTAAGTCAGGGCTCTGGCCGGGCCATTCGGTGCTGTGTATACATTAATGAGGAAAAAAAAATAACTTAAATGATTTTAGCAAATGGCTGCAATATAACAAAGAGTGAAAAATTTAAGGGGGTCTGAATACTTTCCGTACCCACTGTATATTTAAATGTCATGGAAGATATAGATTGAACCGTGTGTTAGCTTGTTCACGTCCACATGTCTTACAAGAAACTATGCTTCTAACCACAGGTCAAGTGCTGTAGTTCCAACCACGTACGTTTGCGATGCTGTTTGCGAATGTCCGCTGGAACTAGGGGTGTGCGATATGTATGGTCTGCGATATTATATCATTTCATATAGTTAATATCACACGAAGAGTGCCGTTTTTTCTCCAAAAGTCAGCATGATTACAAATGTGATATTAATTTTATACAACAGTTCAATAAACAAGAAGTTAATTAAGAGACTTGCGTTTTAGACACCATATTGCCTGTTTTTGCTCTATTTCGAC